ATGATGAATGGGTTAAAATAAAAATTAAGAAAGAAATAAAAGTATTCCTGGAATTAAATGAAAAGGACAATACAGCACAACAATACCTCTGGGACATGCTGAAAGCTGTCCTTAGAGGGAAGTTTACAGCTCTAAGTGCCTACATCGAAAAATCAGAAAGAACACAAATAAATGACAACATTGCAATTCAACACACTTCAAAAGCAACAGCAAAAGAAACCCAAACCCAGCAGACAAGAAGAAATAACAATAATCAAGTCAGAAATTAATGAAATTGAAACAAAGAAAACAATACAAAGAATCAACGAATCCAAGAGCTGGTTCTTTGTGAAGATAAACAAGATTGATAGACCGCTAGCCCAGTTAACCAAAAGAAAGAAAGAGCACCTCCAAATCAACAAGATCAGAGATGAAAGGGGAAACATCACAACAGACAACAGAAATATAAAGAACATTATAATGGAATACTTTAAAAATCTATATGCATTACAAAATCAGAGATACCGCAAATAAACTGTGTGTCTGTATGTTTCCAGGTCATAGGCAAACAAGTGGAAATCATACCCAAAGGCAGGGGTGGAAGAAGTACCCAGGATCAGAGCTGACAGGGAAGAAAGAGAAAGCAGAAGAAAACGGGGCAGCAGAACAGAGATCCTATTTGAAAGGATAAAATGCCGACACACCTTTAGCTGAAGAACCAATAAACAAGGGAAGGCACTGATTGACTGTAATAAAATTAGAAACAAAAAAGCTCTTACTACAGTGGGTGTCTCTGACATCCGGAGGATCATCAGGGACTATTTAGAGACTTTACACTTCTCTGACCTGAAAAGTTTGAAGTAAATAAATTTCTAGACACATATGACATACCAAAATTGAACCAAGAAGATACAAGAGTCAGAAAAATCAATCAGGAAGATTGAAAGAGTGAAAAATAAAAAATAGTGTAAGAAAGAATACCCAAGACCAAAGAGGGTCATGGTGGGTTTACGCAAGAACGCAGGGAAGGTAAGATATACAAATTCATGGAAAAAAATACTGCGTTTTGTGGGGTGGAGAGATGACTCCAAGGTTAAGCACCCTGGCTGCTCGTGCAGAGGACATGGGCTCCATTCCCAGCACCCACTTGGGGGCCAGCAGCCATCCAGACCTCTAGTTGCAGGGCATTTGATGGTTTCTCCTGTCCTACCTGGGCATTGTATGACTGGAGTGCACTTACATAGGTGCAGGCAATACATCACGTGCATAAAAAATAAAAATAATAAATATTTTTAAAATACTGCACATAAGGCAAAGCAAGGAGAAGTGTCATGTCTCCCCTAGAGAAGAAAGTTTTTCATTTTCTGGGATGAATGTAATTTGCCATCACTGTGTTACATGCGATAATCTAGTCCCCAAAGGACAAATACCACATAGGATCCCTTTTGTGTGGAATCTGGGAGGAGGAGGGAACTGAAAGGATGAGGGGCCCATGAGAGGATTGAAGGGAATTGGGGTGGGTAGAGAGTATTAGAACAGAGCAGGCATTCATGATCAAAGGACATGCATGTATGAGGATGTCACAATAAAATCCCTTACTCTATATATTAATACACCTGGAAATTTTAAAATAAGAAATCAAAATTTAAAAACAAAGGAACATGAGACTCAAAACAAAAAGTGTGATAACTCACTGTCGAAGTCAGCCAGATGATCGAAGTCCGAAGTTCAACCAATCACCGACGTCCAAGTCCAAAGAATCACCAGCCTTCAAGTCCAATCGTTCGTCAATATCCAAGTCCAACCGATCTCCAACCTCCAAGTCCTACCAACCACCAACCTCCACCAAAGCTCTCTGCACTATAAGGACAAGGAAACAGCCCCAGGCAGTGCATTATATACAGCTGTCTTTAATTCTTCACAGTGGCTCCGTGAAGGGTAGGGACACTCAATGCCCTTTTGGGGGGCACCGGAAAGATGGAAGCACATACAGTGTTGTTATGCAAATTGCCCCTCTGGGATGACTGCCGCTCCAGCATTAAATATGTTGCCATAACCTCATCAAATTCTTTCTGTTTTAAAGAGTCTTTGATTTCTTGAGGCCTATAGCCCATGACGCACATATCTATGAGAATCGAAAGGTCTGATTGGTGGGGGAGTTGTTCTGTTGTGCAAACTATTGTGGAAGAAGGCTCTACATCATGGTTCAGCCATGAGTGCTGCATTAATTGGATGATCGTGGGCCTCATTCTGGGAGTAACACTCAGCAACTGGGCAAGGAGATTTTTCAGGTGTGGGGAGAGCTGCAACGGCATGGTGTAGTAAGAAGCTAAGATGTTCCGCTTGGTTCTGTAGTTCTCTGTGTCTCCGAATGGGAGCGATGAAATACAGCACCACTCCCAGGCTCCAGATATCAGCAGCCAGCCCATCATACTGTTGCAAAGTAAAGACCTCTGGGGCACAGTAGCCAAATGTCCCATAGTAACCCTTGACCCTCTCTCCAGGGTGGAGTTTTCTCCCCAACCCAAAATCACCCAGCTTTATATGACCCTGCCCATCCAGCAGGATGTTCTCAGGTTTCAGGTCATGGTGGGCAATCCCATTCTGGTGGCAAAACAGAATTGCCCAGGCCAACTCTAGGAAGAGTCTACGGGTCTCCTCCTCCACATGCCCAAGCTTCTCCACATAGCTCTTCAGCTCTCCCCCGCCGGCATACTCCAGTACCAAGTACACATTTTCTACCGTGTTAATGACCTGATACAGTTTGATAATATTCGGATGTTGGAGCATTTTCATAATTTCAGTCTCTTGCCTTATCAGGGAGCCATCGATTTTGCTCTTTTTCAGCACTTTCACTGCCACTTTGGTGGCAGTGAGGCGATGGTAGCCGAGTTTCACATGCCTCACATTCTGATAGAAAAAAAGAAAACCTTTAAAACATTGTAGTTGAGAAGGAAAGCATAATTTTTGTTCAACTCCAACACATGTTTAGACCTTAGACGCATGGTAAAGTTCTGAGCCTGTCCAGAGTTCAGAGTCCTTAGAGCTGAGAGGAGGCTTCGTGGAGATTTCAAGAGACTCAAAAGATGTAGAATGCAAATGACTTGGGAATACTTTAACATTTTAAAAGTAAAATACTTTCAATTAGGGAAGACTACACATTTCACTCATGTTTCCCAGAGAAGTCAGGATCCATGTGTCTGCTGATTCACAGTGTTAGCAGGGCAGCCTTCTCACTCTAATACGGCACTTTGCTGTCAGGCCTCATTTGGGGAAGACAACTCATGTCAAATCCTTTCCTCAAGTAATGCATAACATCGTGATAATGAACCTCATACATATCCCTTTAATCTCCTAAGATCCTACATCAATACATTTGCAGGCCTCTCTCCGACCCGAAGGCTTCTCTCTCTGGGGTAAGTCTATCCGGCCTTCCGTGCCTTGACTCCCCCAGCCTCACTCACCCTCCCATCTCCCCCGCCTCTCTCTCCTCCTAGCCTGGGTCCCTGTGATCAGAGGCGGCGCCCAGATGGCGGCACTGGTGCGATCGGAGGCGGCGCCACGGCGATCAGCACCACGTGAATGGAGAGCGGCCGCAGGTGGCGCCCGTCTGAGCGGAGGAGCGCACGCCCGGAGACAGCACCAGGGTAGTGGACAGGCGGCCGCCGCAGCTGGAGGCGGCTGCACTCAGCATGTGTGAAGTCTTTGGTCTAATTTTCTAGCACCAAAGAGTATAATAATAAACTTGAGTGTTGTCCATTATGAATGATTTCTTGGCTCTTTCACAGTGGGGCAGGAGTCGTGGGATGTACCACAGATAAGGCGCTTAGCAGCAGCCGTTAACATTACAGCCTGAACCAAGATTAATGTTCACTCCCACCAGCAGTGCATAGGCTGTATGACCAAGGGGAGCTCTCAGAATCCAGTCCTGGGTTTGA